AATGTGAAGGACACACATGTACATGACACTGGAGATGGGTCACTCAAGAAGTTGGATTTTTTCTCTTATGTGTTCAGTTCGTGTTTCTCAAAGCAAAACAAAACAAAACAGAAAGCTCTACACAGTGTGGTAAAGCATGAAATAAAACAGATTGCTTTGTTTTAAAAGGACCTAGCCACTTGATTTTAACAGATATTTCATATGTTTGCATCACCTAAAAGTTATAAATATGGCATAATGTTCAATTGTATGTTCATTTATGTACTATGATTTCCTTGCCAAAGCTGGATTTTTAAACAAAAGTTAGAAATGCTAGAGAAAAGGCATTTTTTAAGAATAAAGTAACACAAAACATGTTCTCTCTACTACCTTAATTTTAAAATGAAAAGCATTGCCCTGTATGCTTAATATTCCATTTCATATAAATTATTTTTTTTTCATCCTGGATCCTGTATGATGATATCCTTGCCCCTCAGCAGTCTGGTGAATATCCTGCATTCTTGGTGATCATGCCCTCAGGGTAAAACCAGGAAGCTGGAAATGGCCACAAAGACCACTGTAGAATCTGCGTAGGGCAAAGCAAGATGTGTTTGAACTGTAACTAAACTCTGTGGTCATTAAAAGTGCCTTGGAAATAAGATTGGAATCTCTGGGTGAAGAGGATATAAACCAGAGTATATAACACCAATAGTGCTGTCAAATAAGGTCCAAGGGAAGACAGTCCCTAGACATATAGTTCTTGTTTTCAAGACATATACGAAGTACAATGCTTTGGTTCTCAACATTTTTTAGTTCTGCTTCTTCCTCCTTCCTGTGCATATAGCTTATGTTCATCCAACATCCTTCTAGGGTTGTCCAGCTCCAGTCTAGTTCTGTCAATGAAGAGGGCAAGAATCTCAGACTGAAGATCATACCTAGCAAAAGGGGTGACACACACATCCTCTCCAACATTAGAGAACAGCAAAATAACTCATATATGCTTTTGCTTATTTATTGCATTTTTGTTCCCTTTTTAGTTTCTGAACTTTCAGGTTCTCTTTTCTGATTGTCTGTATTGTGGTAACTTGCTTTGGATTAAGAAACTTCCTAATAAATGCTTTGTATTTGTGCTCCTTTGCTTGAAGTGAACTTTGTGTTATCTTCACTCATCTTCAAGATCTCTGTTCTTATGTCCCTTTTCAAAACAATAGCTTCCTCAACTCTTATCCCAGTAATTGTCCTGATGGAACTACTAATATAAACTCAATTGTTTGCTTATGTAATCTTGAACATTATTAACCATTGCCAAATCATTTAATATTAAAGTCTACACCTGGCATGTTTCTGTTATGTCTTAACTCTCCTTATTCACCATTAGAAGTCTGATTATTGTAGCTTACAAAGTTTATTTAGAATTTGTCTGTTCATATAGAGCTGTTTTGAATCTCCTAGCAGATAGAATTTTCAAGAACTGTGCAAATCAGTTAGGGTAATGGTTGTGGTTATCACTGTTAGGTTAAAAAGAAAGCATACAAATAAATTTCCCCAGAATTCATATAGTAGTTATGAGAATAGGCTCTGAGGAGAGCCTTTGTTTTCTTCCTGACTTTTACTAGTTCTTCTGAGATAAGTTAGTTGGGAAGATGAGATCGCCTTACCTATATGCACACACCAGGTATCAAATAGATGAGTGTTAACTTCAGCAATTAAGTGTAGAAAATGCAGAAAAAGATATATAATAGTTGCATAATATTTAAGACTAAACCTTAAGCTTTTTTTTTTTAAAGATTTATTTATTTGTGCATACAGAACTGGGGTGCAGGCCAAAGGTGCAGGGGTGGTGAGAGGATTCACCAGAGACGGAGTGGGTAGCAGGACAGGCCGACTGACAAAGTACACTGCTGAGGGGAGCAGTGGGTGGGTCAGGAGAGGTCTACCTCCCCAAGTGGATCACTTCCAGGGCAGGCGGAGATAGAACTCTTGCTTCGCTTCTCAGTGCTGTGCTTTAACCTGCTGCACCACCAGGAAGGGCCAACTTTAAGCTTTTAATGTGAAAGTCACTAGTTCAACTTGGTAATTTTTAAAGGGCTTAAGACAAATTCTTAGGTCCCACCATTAGTAGTGCATAAAATTATTCATCTGTGTTCCAAAACTATTGAGCATAAATTTAAGTAGCTTATGATTTAAGAAGAAAAACATTCTTTTATTCATATCGTGTAGCTCTTTAGGCTTTCATATTTGTTTTTTTGGGCTTGTTAATTCACATCAACAATACCAGATCCAAAAAAATAATAATAAAGTGACCGATATTATTCTTTAATTTTAACTTCATGTAATGTGTCTCCTTTTTTCTCTTTCTCATTATCATGACTTTAATTTATGGACATTTCAGGTCAACAGGGAATATTACCAAAGCTTTTCTTTCTTTCTTAGAAGAGGTAGTGAATTGTGAAGTCATTTGGAAGACAAGAAGATTGACTGCATCAAACAAAAAATTAGCTTGGCAGCATTTTTATTTGTAACATTCCATACCACACAGGGTTTGAGTCTTAGACTGGTTTCATGTTTTGTGGTTTGGTAGAACCAGAACAGTGTGTTCAGCCACTTTAGGAAAGAAAATCTCTGACTAATATGGCAAAAGTTGCCATAGTAGATAGATATTTGAGTGTCAGAAACTAGAAGATTCCTAAGGATTTTTTTAGGGCACCATAATCAGTATATTGCTGACTTTGATATTTTCAAAATAATCTGTGTACACAGCCACATCTGACTTTAGGTGACAATTTACCATGCATAAGCTGTCAGTTCTCAAGCCCTTGGTACACAAGTACTACGCTGGTCATAGTGAATTAGGCAGATTATATACAAAGATGAAATTCAAGTTGACAGTAGATGTTTAATTCTAGAACTTGAGATTTAATAACAAACTATCTTCAGTGGTAGTCAATATTTTGGTGATTACTAAATGCTAACTCATTAATAAAGTTGATTTATTTTACTAGTATGAGATAGGATATGCTACTGTCCCACTTCTATTCATGGGGAGTTTAGACTAGGGAAAGTAAAACAATTGTCCTTATTTACAGACTGAGAAGGAGTGGCAACTGCCATTTGAAACCACCTCATGCTGTATTCTCTAAGCAACACCACCCTTCTGTACAAACATCAGCATTTATAGTGCTGCTCCCTTCCCTCCAGTCTCCATAATCAGTTTAGAGTCCCCCAGAGTAGTTCTCTTGAGCAAGTCAACACGGCTGTGCTCACAGGGTGACCCGGGCCTGAGTTAGTTGCTTCGTTTTGACACTTGGCTTGTTACTGATGTCATGTTGACCATTTGCTTAGCACCTGGTACTCTCAAGATCGTGTTTTCTGGTATTAGTATACATATTCCCTGATCTTGGATATGTCTTTTCCTATCAATGCTCCTGAAGCTTCTTTATCACTGATGACCTGCCCCAACTTAATTGAGTTTTATGGGCACAACTTGAGCTTAACTTATTCCTTTTTATTTTAGTTGGCTCCTGGCCTTCTTAGTTCTGCAAATTCAAGTTTGACTCCATGTTCACTGATGACTGTGTTCTGTTATGTCAGTAAGCTTAGTTTTCTTCCAGAAACTTGGTCAGTCCTATGCTTCTGCATATCATTTTTTCCTTCTGGAATTTATTTTCTATTCAGTCTACACATTCAATACTCACACTTTGAGACCAACACATTCTAATACTTTTATAAATAGCCACTATTTTGTAGGATAGCAACCAGCTTTAGTGTAAGTGATTATTATTATTACAGAGAAAAGTAAGGAGGTCTTACAAATCAGGCTAGTGAGTGACTTTGTAAACTTTTTTAAACTTTTTTAAAGTGTTTATTTTCCCTATAATTTTTGTAAGTCACATTATCATATAAGTGGATAAAGGTAAATCTAAAACACATGCACACCTTTTTAAAAACATGTTGCTAAATCGAGACATTTAATTTTATTGTATTCAAATAATAAAGAATAGGGCTTCTGAAATCACTTTTTTTTTTTTTAACAGTGCCGGTTCAAACGTACAGGATCAAGGATATTATATACACTGAATACACACATACATATGTATTGTTGTTGAAGTGTTAATATTGATTCAATCCTTCACAAATAATATAAAATCCATGTATAATGCACAGATTACTATGTTAATTGCTAGTGAAGAGAAAAACATGATTTCAACTATAAATTCTCTAGAGAAAGTAAAACATGCAGTCAATTAAAGGCTGATGGGGCCATTGCCATGAGAACAGTGCAGAGTGAGTTCTCTGAAACTTCAGAGAGGGAAGAAATCTTGTCCATCTGGCAGGGGAAGACTTGGCACAGGGGAGGGGCCTTTCAACTGGACTGAAGGATTTCCAGTATTTCAACAACCAGAGAACAAATGTAACATCAGCTTTCGAAGGGGATGGTGCTTACACAGGTACCCATGCGAGAAAGGATAATCTTTGTTTAGAGAATAAGGAGGAGTTACAGTTGATGGAGGAGTAGAAATTCTATAGAGAAATAATGATGGATGAGGTTGCAAGTTAGAGGAAGGCCTTTCACCCAGGCTAATTAATATGAAAGCTGCTAAGGAGACAGTGGTCCATCCAAGTCCCAATATTCCCACTGATGAGGAAAGAAACAATCTCTGTGCTCATTCTTATTAACCTGTAAACAGAACATGAGAAATTGATAAAATGGCAAAGAATGTGACTCTAGAGTTGATCAACCTGGGTTTCAATCCTAGCTTCACCCTTGAACCAAGTAAACTGAAACTTAAGTCAATTAATGATCATTGTCATCTTCTGTAAAATTGGGCTAATAATAGTACTTACTCTACAGGGATCTTATTAAGATTAAACAAGTTAATTAATGAGACATACTTCATCCATTACGTCAAATGGTACCCTGAGGTCATCAGCAGGCAAGACAGAAGTCTGCTGTGCCATGTAGGTCACCTCCCTGCCCAGGAATTGAACTCGTGCTGAAGCATCTGTGGCTAGCTTCCTAGTGCTGCACTTTAACCTGTTTCACCACCAGAGAGGGACCTTTTTACAATTTATATATTGTTTTATCATTGTTCATTTTTGTACAATGTTTGTTTCTCTCCTCAGGTGTTATCTCCATAAAATTACCACCTCCAAGACCTGTGTGAACCATCACTGTAGGCTTTTTTTTGCACTTCCTCCCATTTTGATCCCTTTCCCTCCTACTGCCCTGGTGAATCTCTCCAATTTATGGTTTGACTACTAGGTTTTTTTTTTGTTGTTGTTTGTTTGTTTTTTTACCTGCCAGAGGTGCAGGCAGTGAGAGCTTTCACCAGACACAGAGTAATGCACAGAACAGGAAGATTTCCTGAAATATACTGCTAAGGGGAGAAGGGTGAAACAGGAGAGGTCTGTTACACCTGGTAGGGGATGGAACTCAGACTTCCATGGTGATAGCACTAAGACTTAACCACTAGAAAACCAGGGAGTCCCAGTTTAACTGCTAGTTTGTTCTCTCTCTCTTTTTTATCCCTGATCCCTTGTATGGTTTCCCTATATTCCTCCTGTAAATGAAACTATATGATACTTTCATTTTTCCTTCTGACTTATTTCACCAGGCATAAATCCATTCCAGCTCCACCCATTTGTTGCAAATGGCATAAGCATAACATTTTTGATTGCTGAGTACTACTCCATGGTGTATATATACTGCATCTTCTTGATCCAGTCATCTGGTTTTGGACATTTAGGTTGTTTCTGTATTTTAACTATTAATACAGTCTGTGATGAACACAGAAGTGCAAGCATCCTTTTGTATTAATGTATTTGTTTCTTTGGGTAGATTCCTAGGAGGGGAATTGTTGGATCATATGGAAGCTCCATATTTAGCAGTTTGAGGAACCTGTACACAACTTTCCATAGTGGTTGGAACAATTTGCATTCCCACCAGCCATATAAAAGGGTTTAATGGTACTCTAATAAATGGTACTCTAATAAATGGTACTCTCTTTATTTTCTCTTGCCTCATGCCTCAAATATTGTTACTTATAAGTTTTGAGGGGCACATTGAAAACCCCACCTGTTTGGGCTTGCTGCCAGAATTTTTCCTCTATCGCTTTTCTGCATTTTCCAAGGTGTACCTCTGATGCATTTCCAATTCTTCCTCCCACCTTTTGTGGTTAGTTGAATTATGTGAATGTCAATCCTTTGTAGCTTTAACATTTTAATAGTTAAATCATTTCTTAGTTCTTTCTAAGATTAAATTTTCCCTACTGTCTCATTATCAGAGGTTATAGTGTTACTTTAATTTGTATTGTTATCAAGCTTAAGTTCTTAATGGGATAGAATTGGGGATTTAATAGCATTAGATTGCTACATGATGATCTTTTTTTTTTTT